CCCCTCCCCCCCCCCCCCTTCCACGCCCCCCCGTCACTCTTTCACCGCGTGCGTGCGTGCGTGTGCGAAGGCTCACTTCGCACGCGAGCGAGGCTCTAACCAGCTCGAATCGAAGACGCCTGCGGACCTGGAATCACGCGAGACGCGTAAAAATGATCCCCCATGGTCGTATGGCGAGGGGACCGCTCGAAATCGCGACGAAGATTCGTATAGGCGGACAAACGAGGAGGGAGAAATTCTGCTCGGGACGTGCAGGGCATCGTCTCTGTAGGAACAATGCCTTCGAAACGTTATTACATAATGGAAGAGTATACACTGTATGATTACGGTACATCGAGGCATTGGAAATGATATTGATCACGTAGATTAAATTTTAGAACCGAAAAGGGAATTCTGTTTACAAAGAATTTCACGGTTTTAACGTATCTGTTTCAACTCGTTTTATTATAATCTTGTAATATCGTATATGGAAGGATTGTATTGAATTTGCATCGCATATTTGTTTAAACATATAGTAAAGAATACAGAATTTAAATACACTTGTAATGAAGAACTTGTAATAATAATCTATTAGCGGCTTTATGTTTAAATACGATTGTCATTATGTTTAAATATAGCAAATTATTTTTATAGAAAACGCAAATGCTATTATAATAAAGTAAACACACGCAGCTAAGCATCATCGTGTCTTGTTTTACAGAGAACTGTTTGAAATTATTTCTGGACAGAAAACTGATCTCTCTATCCTGATGTGATCAAATCCGATCTGTTGACTATTTCGTAAACAGCTACTCGTAAAATATCGTCATGAGAATACAATGTCACTATATTATTTTTTTCTTTAAAACTTAGCATTCCTAAACCGTCACGAGATAACGTGAAATTTATTGCTGATAAAGAATGCTAAAAGATTCACATTTCATTCTGCATATCCCTATAAATTTTAGTTTTTGTTAATTTGTGTAAATAATACATTTTATACTCAAAAAAATCTATACGTAATTGTATGTAAAAATCCAGCCGTAATTGAAACATGAGTTTGTTAATATAATTTTTCTGTAACAAAAACACACAAAAATTTAAATTCCATAAATCATATGCACAAAAATAAAATACAGTAAATAGATACATCTTTTTTTAATTTTCCATATACACTACACAAAAAGACTTGTAACGCTATCTAACGGTATAGGCATATATTCCTTTTATCTTCGCTCGCAGCAATAGCTGATAATTAAGAGACCTGTGTCGGGGTATTTGACTCACTTGATAAGTTGAAATATTATGAATTAATTGAATTAACATTGTTACTTCAATTAATTGTTAAATTGAGTGTACATACTCTATTAAATTACAAAAGTTTTATTATCTTTCGTTATTCTTTCTGTAATAATTTATAATAAAATGTATAAAGAAAACTGACCTAATTCGAGCAATAATAAGATTTCTTAATTAATAGTTTACAATATTACTAAGAATATATGTATATCATTACTTGTTCGTCTGATTCTGTAGAGCGCAAGTGTTACAACAGTTTCGATATTTTTATACTTTTATATATTTTTTATATTTTTATTTTATGTTTCTCTCTTAGTTAGTAATATTGTAAACTATTAATTAAAAAATTGTATTACCACTTGATTCAAACTGTTTTTTTTTTATACTTTACATTGCAAAAAAAGGAGCGAAATCTCATTATAATAAAATATTCTTAATTAATTTGTACGAATTCGTATATGATCATTCATTGAACAACTAATTGTTATTGAATGATAAATGTAAATTTACAAACATTTAAATAAACAATGATATGATAAGTTACAATATCATGTTATCGCTATTACTTGTTCTTCTCGCTCGCATGATCGGATTCCCAGATATTATTTCGCGCTCTTAAAAATTGATATGCGATGATGTTGAAATATAGTGAAGAAGAATCTTTCGTCGATGGAGGAATCTTTATGATGTTATTGAATTTTTGTACGGTATGTATATCGAGTGTTAGTGTGGTAAATCATGCGATCGAGAAAAACAAGTACTTAATAGCGATAACATGATATTGTAACTCCATATTCTGACAAGAGCGTAGAAACTTTGGCTTCATTAGTATATTGTAAATGATATTAGCGGTTTTTTAATGTATCACTTTGAAATTACAACTGTACTGAAGATGATCAGATATTGACCGAAACATTTATGATCTGAATTTAAATATACATATGACTTGCGCAAAATACACCTTGCTTTAGTGGCTGTATGCTCCTTTACAAATATTTATACTTTTATTGCTGTTGGTATTATAAACGCCTAACAAATGTAAGTTAGTCTACTTTATACATTGGCGTTTATAATACGTTTGACATTTATTATCTATCATATATGTTTATATAGTAAAAGAAACTAAATATTGCTTATGCTTTATATTTTGGTTATGTTCTAAAATTCACTGCCAGCGCTGAAAATTATGATAACATGTATCTTGAGTTACATGTATTGTACGAGTACACACTATGAGATTTTCAGCGCAAGCAGTGAATGATGAAATACAGAATTTATTAATTGTTGCGATTGTGACATAGAGCGAGTTACGTGGCTCCTTTCAACTGAAGTTTCGGGTTTAAATCTTTCAAGAACGTATACAATAGTATCAGATTTTATCTGATTTATCTTTCAAAAAGCAACGGCGAATAGTCACCAAAAATATTTTTACCGTGTTGCAATGTTTTTTAAGAGATCATTTGAGAAAAACTATGTCTTACTATCGTATCTTTCATATTTTTTGAGGTATTTGCCTGTGAGTCAATTAAAATGAAATACAGGTATATCAGTGGATATACGCAAAGAAATTACATCTCTGATAAGAGAGGTAACAAACTTGGGAGAGAGAAAACGAGTTATTTTTAATGTTTATGTTATGAAATTAAATAAAGAAATAAAAATTGATTAAAATATTTTATTGTGTAAACCAATATTCAACATTTCAACAAGTTGTACATATTCTCTAAAGAGTAAGTACTGGCGAAGAGTCGCTATTAGCACTAGTTACTGTTGAGTACTATATAGTTGCATTTCGAACCACATTTTTTGAGTGCAGTTAAATGATTAAAATACAATGTAATTACATGATATAAGGTATTTCATTGCGCATAATGATAATAGAGTAAATAGAACAAACAATCAAGTGCTTATTCTAAAATTAGTGAAATTAGGAAAATGGTACCAATCATATTCCTATTTACAATTTGAGACGTTCACGATTTCAAAATAGCAGCCGCCATATTCGAGGTGACTGCGCATCTTCAAGAATGACATACCTTATATTCTTATACTATACTATGTATAATATGTAATAACGTGTTAAATATTTTAAAAAGTAATTTGCTTGATTTATATTAATGTGATAAATTATTAGTAAGATCGAAGTTGTTAATGTTTAGGATATAAATTGAGTCGAACGTTATCTTTTCCATGATTTATCCACGCAAGTATAGGAAAGTAACGTGCATTCCAAAGTACAATCCGCACAAATAAGTTACTATATGCTCTTACTATTACTCTGATGTAAGGCACAACTAAAAAAGACAAAGAACAAATCAATATATGTAGGTATATCATAAAATATCACAAATATTGGTACAATACTTACGACACAGATAAAATAACCATTCACGATATTTCATAATTAACCAACTACGCCAACCAAGCTTTTTATCTGTAATATAAATTATTTTTGTCAATTGTACGGAGTATGTTATTAATGTTGGTAACATCAATAATTAAAAGGCATCTAATCTTACAGACAATAGTCGTTATACAATAAATATTAAATCAAATCAGATCGAAAGATTACAATGAATTTAATAATCAATCGGGTTTTGATAAAAAAAAGAAATGATAATTGTTGAAAACAACGTACGCTGCAGCTTTGATGATCATAATCTTAACATGTTAAAATCACGCATATTTATAATAAGCACTTTGATCCAGCTTTGACCGTTATTGGCTGTACTTTTTTCTTTGTTTGTTTGATAATATACGATCGTACAAAATAATTTAATATTTATCATAACATATGTTGTCGAGGTTATAATTTTAACGAGTGATCTTCACAGAGGTGATCTATCGCTCTTTAAGCTTAATAAATATAGTTAACAATATAAATGTGCATTTCAGTTTATAATTTTATATTGGAAAGTTATAAATCTGAATCTATTTCTGATTTGACGAGAAGATCCACCCTATATCTTGGGATTTACTGGGCGAAACAAGGTCTATAACTGTACCGTTCTGTAATAATTTTCGATTTTCTTCTTATTAATTTTCCATCCTTAATAGCGCTAATAACTTTCTAACAAATAATTAACGATTGGCGATTAAAACTTTGTCATGATCACTTAGGGTCATGAACTTGACTACATAGACTAGGTCAAAAATCGAGGTAGATCCATTGTTTACAATTATTACGAGAAACATTTTAATTTTACTCATTGCTTATATTTATTAGCAGTATACTATAAAATTTTATACTTGACATGAATTAAATACTTGAAAAAATAAATAAATATAAATTATAAAAGAACAATAAATATCTCTATGATTACTGAAATAAAAATATATTTTCAATCAAAGTAAACATTGAGTGCTTACCTGGGAGCCCATGTAATTTATAGGCAAATGCCATGAAAGAATCTATATCCGCGGTTACATCAACGTACCATATCGCATTTAATGTAGTTACCGCTATTTCATGAAATTCAGGTGAACCATTACTCAAATAAGTTCCATACAAATCTTTGAACTTATAACATAATTCGGTAGTTTCTTTTGCGTTTTTGCGACATATATTCAAACTGTAGATAGGAACAAATATAATTAATAAAATTACAAATATATAACTTGTTTGTACACATCTCTGTCAAAATAAATTATTTATATTTATTAGAGATTGTGTGTATATAATAGAATATATTAAACTTGAATATGCTAAACTTGCTTAGTAAAAATCAGAATTAAACATCGTATACATTACTTGTCAGTGATTCCTAACATATAACCATTTACACGCCAAAAATGATTAAATGCTTCGTTTTCTTCCAGTGTATTGTTTAGTCCAAAATACTTAGATGCAGTGAAGGTGTATCCCAAAAAACCGAACTGTGTAAGGACCATATCTCTTTGTTGTATCTCTCCAACTCCAGCCTTTTTTGTCATCCTGGTTGCCATTACGTGATGCCAACGAATTGCATTTATCGATTTGTACCATCTAGCAGATATTAAAAGTTTCAAAATTTACTTATTTGTATGTGTTTCTTTATATATAAAAAACTTTAATATTTACATAAAGTTTTGATTTAAATTTAATCTATGTATATGAAATTACGTCTTATGAATAAATTAGTTTTCATATAATGTAGCTTATATAATGTGGAACAAAAAATGTTATAAGGCTTACTAATGTTTTTAATAGTTTTCGAGTTACGATGTCTTGAAGGTGCTATATGTATGTGTACAAGTCTGATACCTTTGATGCATGATAATTAAAAAATTATTTATTATTAAGTCTTATATCGATAACATCTTTCGTTAACGCATTATAAGTTACATACATTATTATAAAATTTCATAAATGTGCTTACATGTCTTGTAAACAGGATTTATAGTAGTATTCTTATACTGCGTAATATATGTTATGTAATCAAGAGATTAAGGAGGCAAATTTTGCAGTCTCATTTATTATTAGAAGTAGGCAATCTAGTTTCTTTAATTAAAAAACTGATTTTTTGCGATAAAAACTGCTTTTTAACTAAAAATGAATATAGATTTTATTATTATTTATATTCATCGTCAAAACATGTAAAATATATACTATATAATTAAAAAACTATGCATTATTATTAAGTCTTGTGTTTGTAACATATCTTTTGCTAACGAATAAAACGCATTATAAGTTAAATTATATATGAATCCTCTAACTCATTTTATAAACACAATTTACAATTAATTAGTGTACAGTCTATTAATTCATCTCTGTTTTTAAAATACTGGATACTTTTTATAAAAGCGACTTAATGGCAAACGTTCAAAGATGACGAAGTGTTTTTGTTGACGTGGTATAAAAGGAATGCCTATGTACGTGATATAGCAATAAAGTTCGGTGAATGTCATGAGAAAATAAACATCACTTAATTAATACAAATGTTCTTTATCATTCTTCAAAGTAAACTCCATAGAAAATACACTTTTATCAATGTTTGCGAAAATTCTAGGAAATAAGTTAGGTACCTTTGGAGTTCGGATGTCGTCTTAAGTCTTATTATCACCTATTTTGAACGTCTGAATTTATTTATGTAAATCGAGTTCCTTTCATCGTCTTTTTTAGTTTAAGGTACGAAAAAATTTGCAAAACATCAAGATTACGCAAGAAAGAGTAAAAACAGTAATTCAAAACGGATTAATAGAACGCTGACTCAAGAATCGAGTATTGCATTATTCATTTTGAACCATGTGACAATAAGATTTGTTGCAATTCAAAGATGATTTTATAGAATTTCCGTAAGCTGTACGAACTTTGTCAGAAGTGTATTGTCTTTAGAAGATATTTCTTTCAAGAACAATAATTATCATTTATATGAAGTTATGTTTATTTTCATAAAGTTGTTTCTACATTGACAAATCGCAAAACGTAGTCCATAAATGCAAGCGGAAAATAAAGATCTGTATTTTGCGAGTAACAATTTATATAAATTATACTTCATTGTCTCGTTAACCTCTGCACTATAGCGATCGAATTGATCAATGACAGAATAGCAAAGGAGTAGCGGAAAGTATTTTGTATTTGCTCAATTTATCAATAGAGAGCTATTTATAATTCCGTGATACGAAGAATGTCGGACATATAACAAGTTTCTCTAATCTAACTTAAATCAAAATGTTAAAGCTTTAAAATATCAATATTCCCGCAATTTTATACTTTTGCGTTCGATGATACGTCATTCATGTGCATTTGCGAATTACATTTCGCGATTTGCGAATTATATAGAGACAGCTTAATATTCACTCAATTTTATTGCCGTATCTTGTATATTGTACATTTAAGATTAATTTGAAATTTATCAGACATTTATCAGGCATTTTATCAGGTGTTTGAATTATTTAAAAAATATTTAAAATATATTTAGATATATTACAAACAGATATTATAAAGAATTATACAAAAAAAAAACAAAGATACTTTAAGCTGTCTCTACATAATTCGCAAATGACAAACACAGATGCAGAATGATTTATGACTACACGCAAGATATACACAGATGCGATTCAACCATACACAATAAATTAAATCGTGTGTTGATCAATGTCGACATTTTTTAAAGAGTTAATTTTTCTATTTAAATCAGGTTGGTGAAACTTATTACGTATCTGATATTTTTCGTATCACAGGAAATTATAAATAGTTTGGCTTTTTGTTAATAAATGAGCAAGTACATAAGTCATTTCTAATACTCGTTGCTACTCTGTTATTAATGAACGCAGTCGCTGTAGCGTAGAAATTAACGAGAGAATCTCCAAACTGCGTATGTTGTTATTTGATAAAGATAGATCATACCGCGATTTGTAAAAAAGTTACGATTTGTATAAATTATGTAGAAACATCTTCACATTTTTTTATATAACTGGAAGTAATCTTGAAATGTGATATATCACTATAAAATTTTATAAATATACTACGTTATGTAATTAGGAATAAATAGTGTCTCTATGCGAGAGTTTCTGCTTAATATACGTTATATGGTCACGAGGTTTAAGAGACAAAATAAGTTTAGCAGTCTTACTTACTTATTAAAAAAGTAGAAAAACTAATTTTTTCAATCGAATGTAAGAATGATCTTCTACAATTTACGATAAAACAGTTTTTTTAATTAAAAATGAGTATAGAATTTATTATTGTTTATATTCATCGTAAAATCGAATGTAAAATCTACATTCTTTATAAATGATTACATTTAACTTGAAAAATGTGATTTTTCTTAATTTTTTCATTTTGTAAATATTTTTTAATACATCTTAAAGGTTGCTTTGTGTATAATTTATACAATGAATAAAAATGTGATTGTATTTTACAAATAAATGACTTGGGGTATTATATTTATGAATTATAAAAGACTAGCAAAAAGTATTAAAAAATTGTAGATTGAAAAAAACTTACTTGGAATCTGTATCATTTGGATCACATGTATATATGTTATGTGTATGTAATATAGTTTCGATGTATCTTTTAAAAGCTGAACAAGTTGAACTGCTTTTTTTTGTATACAAGAGCACCTATTAAAAAATAAACAATTTGACGATGATTAATATTCTGTTATTTTTTATAATAAATTTTATTTAACACAATGAATTCGTAAGTGTAGTTCATGAAACTATTTTCATGTTGAGATCATGTTTAATTAAAATATATGAAAGTAAAAAAGATCCCGTTTATACTATACAAAATTTATGTACCATACAGTTAGATTAGATTATTATATGCAAAAATAATTATTTTAATATATTTGTATTATTAACAAAAAATATAAAATTTTAATACCTTCAGTATTGTTTCCACTGCAAATACTATAACAAGTCCTACCGTGCTCGCTGCTATTATCGACATTAAGTTTCTCTCATAAAATTTTTGAGCTCTAAAATTATAAACTTTAGATTTTTGAAAATGTAAAACAAGCAATGCTAAAAACATTATTGTAAAACAGGAAGTAAATATTTGATTTAAATAAATTATATTGCATCTCAACGTTTATAAAATATACAGAGAATGTTTAAATATTTTTTAAATTATTAAATTTTATTAATGTTTATATACGAAATAATGTTTATATCTAAAAATGTGGAAAAATACAAATTGTTTATAAAAGCATAGCATTATGCTTGAATATACTTTAAAGTTTTATATTCTTATTTTCATATATAATTAAATTTTTTATATTTATTAATTTCTTATGAGATTAATAACAGTATATATATACTGAGAAAAAAAATAGTTGACTCAACTAAATTGGCGGTCACGGGCTGTCAAGTAAATATTTTGTTTAGTCGAAATATTATGTATTTGAATCAAATACGCAGTGGTACATTGAACAATGACTTATTTATTTCGACAGGATAATATCTTTGAATTAACAAAATATTTGCTTGACAGCCCGTGACCGCTAATTTAGTTGAGTTTACTACTTTTTTTTCTCAGTGTACAAGAGGCTCCTATGAATAAATCAAATGTTAAAATAAATTGCCTTTGAGAGCCAACACTGGATAAAAATGTGTAATAAACTTTATTTAATTACATAAAATTGCAAACGTTTCGACCTTAGTCCAGGTCATTTTCAATGCAAGAAAAAATTCTTTAATGAACTAAATTAAATTATAATATCCGCTCAAATGAATTTTTCAAATTAAACTTAATATACCTCCCCGGTCAAGAACAAATTTGAGCTGTACTAGATATATATATAAATTTATTATAATAATAATATCAGTATATATGGAAAATTTCGTCTTCACAGAGTCCTCAACAACCGCAACCGAATTCTTAAAAATTAATTTAATATATTGCGAAGAATATCACAAGTTGGCGTTTCGTCCCGGCTTCCACTACTCTTCTTTAATGAAGTAAATGATGTAATAAATAATAACAATACAGAAACGAACTAATAGCTATATAGTGTTGTCCACTTGTAAACAAATATCACAATCATTGAAGTGAAAAATTCACTGAAATAAATAGTGTGATCGTGTGAGATTTTAGAATTAAAGATCAATATAAGTTTATTACACATTTTTATCCAGTGTTGGCTCTCAAAGGCAATTTATTTTAATATTCTTATGAGATGTCTCGATTTATATTTAATACGAAAAAATATTTATTTTGCTTATTTTATTGGAATGACTGTTACTATTGGAATGAAATTTGAACTTTAATATTTTAATTAAATTTAAGTACTTACTCTTTATATAAATGTTTATTGTACCATTCTGGAAGATCATTGGATGTTACATCGGTTGCTTCTGTATCAATTACATTCTTATCTTCTAGGATTAATTTGTAATGTTCATCCACCGTCTGTGGTTGGACTGTAATATTCATGTAATATACAATATTAAATTTTATAGGACCGTGAGAATTTAAACCGCACGTGTAATATGTTTATATATAAATAGAAAAAAAAGAGAACACTCGAAATAATCTGATAATTTGAAAAATTGTATAATAAACGATCTATTGTTATATAAAATGCGCCAATGCGCGTTTGCAATTTGCATTTATATTTTTCTTCAAAATAATGGTTTACAATTTTTTAATGTTTAATGTTTAAAGGACATGGGTCTCTTTAAAAATATTACTAAAATATTATCAAAAATTTGTCCTTAATTAATGTTTGTTATAATTCGTTATTTTATAGTAATCCTGGTTTTGAAATATGAAACTTTTTTAATGCTATGATAATGGCTCTCTCATTGTTAACAGATATATCGCAAATATTATTTTACATTTTATATTAAAATTTTGATTAAAGTAGTAACATATTTCTTCACACTTTCTGGTAATTACATATTAATATTTTTATATGCAAAATAATGAGCAGAATTAGTTTAAGCATGGTAGAAATTTGTTAACTTTGCTTAAACTATTTTTTTCCAACACAAAGTTTTAAATTAATATTAACGAGTATATATATTATATATATATATATATATA